TAAATTTTATTAGAAATGGGTTACCTTTTCGTTCGTTATAATATTTTAAGTTTGTTTGACATAAGCCTACTGTTCTAAGAGAAAAAAATGTTTTGGTACTTATATCCTGGTAATTATTTATGATTTAATTATTTACGGAAAATACCGTTCAATAAATTAAAATATTAGAAAGTCAATTAATAGTTATTTATGTAACCAGTTACGAAATGCCTTATTTTGTGTAACGAGTAAATATTTGCAAAACGAGCGGAGCGAGTTCCCGCAACATGAACGACTTACACAAAACGGCATTTCGTAACGTGTTTATATACAAGATTTTTTCTAATTTTGACTTGATTATTTATAAAATTGTGTTGAAAAATGATTCACCATCATTCTTGTGTAGGTACTTCCAATCAAATATTTTAGAAAATTGTTGTATTTGATTGCCCTACGACGTTTTTTTTTTTCAATAGTAATAATAAAAATAAGGGACATGTGCAGTGTTGCCGATCTAATTTTTGACATTACCCGCGAGAAATTTGAAAAAAAAACATTTTTACCCATTATCCTTAAAGAAGTACGTCAAAATTTTACCCCCAACATTTCTGGGCAGTTTTCAATAACGGTGTTATTTTAAAAATTAAACGCAATTTACACCTTTTTTTTTTGTTTTCTTTTTTGTTTTTAAACGTAATGTCATATTTTCAAATGTGAAATATCACTATTCATTGCCTCTTTTTCGATATTTGGTTTTTTGGATTTTTCTATTTTTTATTTTTAGATTTTTCGATTACTCGATTTTTCGATTTTTCGATTTCTCAATTTCTCGATTTCACGATTTTTTGATTTTTCAACTTAGAAACCAAAAAAGAGGCAGTTTTATTTATTTTCATTTCGTAACTGGTGACATAATCAACTTTTCGTAATCAGTTGCACAATGTTCTACTTTATGCAAATGTCCATATAAATATTCTTTAAATTTATTTAAGCCAAAAATTATTGCAAGGACCTTTCTTTCAATTTGGGAATATTTTTGTTCGGACTTTGATAAGGTACGCGAAGCAGAAGCTATACATTTTTCAATTTTTTTTTTTTAAACATGACATATCATGGCCCTTATTCCCACATTTGATGCATCTACGAATAATTTAATCGGCAACTCAGGCTGAAAATGCACAAGAGCATCATTTATTTTTGATTTATTCCAAAGATTCCTTGCAAAAATTATCCCAAATCCATTTCACCCATAAAAAATTAATTAAAAAAAAGTCCTAAAGCAAAATCATATCCTTCCTGTTAGTGACTTAAAAAAATTACTTCCCAAAAAACGGTCCTCAAGCCAGGTCCCTCCATTTTGTGGCGATAGTACTGTTTTTTTTATTGTGATTATTTTCTTCGCGGAAATTTTGGCTTTACACTTTGAGTAACACTGTTATAGATAATTACTAAATAAATAGTTTTGAGAAAACTATTGAAACCAGTTGTGAAGTTTGAAACGAATAAATTGGCAATGAAATTGATATTTTTGTATTTGATTGTATGTTTCTCTTTTCACTTCCTAAAAAAAGATTCCCTATGAAACAAGAAATAGTAAACAGTTTATAATAATAACCTTTATTTGCTACTTATAACATGTACCAATGACCAAGTCCGATTCTGTTTATTTTCAAATCAACAAATATGGACGTCGACAGAATCTTTAAAAATTAAATATCTCACCGAAATAAATATAAGTTTCTTTTATCTCCGTCACATTTCACAGGCTTATTATAAATAAAGCTTTTTACAACACATCTTGGCATTTTCAACGTTAATTTCCAAAATTTAAGTCACTAAAATACCAAATTAATTCTCGTTGACACATTAAATTTGGATGGACAACGGTCTGACATGTGATGTTCTCAACTGTGATTGGTGGGTGTGAATCATTTTGAAATGGGATTATGCGCAGTGTCTTATGTTCCATCTAAGGTTTGTATAATCTAAGTAACCAGCATAGCACATGACAATGCTTTTATTATTAAAAAAACCGGATATAGTTTTTATAAAAAGTCAAAGTAGTTAATTTATAAACACAATTGTTTTAATGTTTTAAATATCCCTTATTAATCCAAGGACAAATCATTCTAATTCTAATATTCTTATACTTATTGTCCCGTTAAGGCCTTTTCCCATCTTTTTCAATCTAGAATAGTTGTAATGCCTATTTCGGGTACAATAAGCCTCCAGCTTCAATACAGGTGGGCTTTGAAACTCACCCTAATTAAGAAACACATTTATGTACATTCCAAAAATCTTCGTACTGAGGAATATCTAAAACAAAACAAAAATAAAGGTGCAGTGTGTATCTTAAAATTAAAAATTAACAGGAGTCATAACTTTTTTAAATTCTTACATTTTTCTTGCAATAAAAGGTATAAAAATTTCAATAAAAATAAAAAACATCTGATTTATGATCTTAATAGGTGAATTATGCAAAAATTAACAAGTTTACCTAAATATCACATAAGTTTTTGAACATATTTGGGTATTATTTGATAAATATAATAATGAATATCACCCAAAAATTGAACAATTATTTTTTGAGCACAAATCATTGGCCTTTTTTCATCATGGTCTTTATGAGTAAAACTAGGATGAGGTTCTATCTCGGGTTCTACAATATTTGTTTGTAAATTGGCTTCACACATTTCGCTCACAACTCCTTTCATTTTGTTTGACCACAAATGTTTAAAATGTGGATCCATTTATCTCTAGAGTAATAATAGCAAGAACAACATAAAATTTCTTGTTAGTTTTGTGAGAAAAATACTAAAAATTTAAATGAATCAGAAGTTAATGATTTTCTTAAGAACCTCCCTATAGTTAAATTAGTTAAATCTAACTTACACTTAATACAATTTACTCACCTACATATGAAAAAAATTTCACCTGCATTTCAAAATGACAATAATATCAGGCTGACAATGCTGACATATTTATAGCAACATAACCTCATTTATTTTCAAAGCCAGATTTACACCATCTAATAATATTTAAATTTAGCTTTAACTTTAAATTTATTAAAGATTATCCCTGTATTTGATCACATATTATATTAAAGTGAAATTTAAAGGGGTAAATCAGTAAAATTATTGATTTCTTTGTTATTATTTTTGAAAACATATTTTTTTATGGGTGTAAAACGGGTTTGAATTTAGTGATATCAGCGCGCTAAGCGCTTACGGTTCAACTACCAACAAGGAAACAAGTCCCGCCATTTATTCAAACCTTCTCTTTTTATTTTTCTATGGACTCACCCAGTGTAATAATTCCGCGGAGGAGCTCTAAGAGGAAGGATCGCCAGGACGCAGTGGAGAATGCGCGAACACCGGCTTATTTCTCAACCACTTTGCTAGAATCCTCTTTCCTTAGTAAGCCCTTATGTCGTTCGACTCAGGCAGTCGTGGTGCTGTGATTATTCAAAACTTGAAGTAATCCCTTTTGGTAATGATACACTGAACCGGCACAGAAATCGAATTTTCACTACATTCACGAGAGCACTATCCATGAAAAAAGCTAAAGCCTATTTTTGCGGGAAACGCTTATATTTATGTCTTTAATTCCTGACTCCGCCCATAGGTAAAACAATTTTGGCTGAAGTTCTTTGGAATCGTTTGAAATTTGCAACGGCTGTATATTTGAAATTTAAACTATTTCTTTTTAGGATAAATAATAATGAAATTTGATTAGAAGATAAAGTACTTTTTAGAAAGCTAGAAGGGATGTACGTGGGTGTGAAATATTAATAAGACCTAGAAAGAGGAACTAGTCTCAGAACTGTAAGAAGATTTAGGATTACTTCCCGATTGACTATTTAGTGACAATTTAATATTAAAAATTAAAATAACTTTACTGACGTTCGAGTACGAATGCTAGATGTAAAACCACTAGTACTTGTGTCGACGTAAGAGTGACTCTACATGTGTGATTACAAAAATTAGTGTTTGCGACACATACTTAGAAAATCAAAGTATGTGGTTTGCGAATTCGGTAAATTGGGGTACATGTATGGTGTCCATACACAACCTGTTCACAAATAACGTATCTGTTAAAAATAACATTATTTGTCCATCATAACCCCAACAGCCGTATGCATAGTCGATCGCCAGCGACTCGCCAGAGATTCATTTCGGCGTATCGCCAGCGATTCGCTGGCGATCCGCCGGCGAAAACCCAAAAAGCTGGCGATTCGCCGGAGATTGTCACCGGAATATCATTTCACGCAAGTTTTCATGTTCTTTTATAGGGAAAAATTTGATATTAGTTCATTATTTCAGTTTTAAGAAATGAATCATGAATAAAATGCGAGAGATACCGGTGATAATCCCTATAAAGAAAATGAAAACTTGCGTGAAATGACATTCCGGTGACAATCTCCGGCGAGTCGCCACCTTTTTGGGCTTTCGCCGGCGGATCGCCAGCGAATCGCTGGCGATACGCCGAAATGAATCTCTGGCGAGTCGCTGGCGATCGACTATGCATACGGCTGTAATAATCTGATGTGTATAATTCACGATTTTCATCTACCTAAAGTTATTGTAGGCATATACTTCTCTTCTGAATGCAGGAAAGTAAAAAAATCGATGATTTTGATAATTTATTATTTATAATAATTTCAAACTTTCTAAAAATGATGCAACACTGGTTATAGTATCCGTAGAATTTCCCCACTTAACCCAAACAAACGCTATTAAATGTATATTTACTCTATGAAATGTATGTTTGAAGACTGTGTTAGACAAAATGATCTTTTCTTTCATGTCTTCTTAGAATTTGACTTATTTATTTTTCTGAAATCTACATAATATAATAAAATATTAATCATTTCCTCATTTTTGGTTGATTATCCACACTTGGAAACATGACCCGATATGAAAAACCTGCAACTGCCGACTGGTTGCACTATTATTGTAATAAAATCGTTCCAGCAGAAATAAGTATCAGGATCGTATCACTACCAATTTTTTTTGTTGCAGGGAAAGGTGGTAATCCGACCCATCGCCTTTAAACCATCGGCTATGACCATGAATGGTTCGACGAGATTTGGAATGGCCGGAGAGCGATATGGTTCCACGCCGATACTCACCAGGCCCGGCTCCAGGCTCACCTTATACGGAAGTAAGTTCGTTTTCATTATATATTTTTTTTATTTATAATAATTTGAACACCCCCAATTCCCCCTATGGAATCAGGGAATGCATTCTTACAAGGCCTTTAAGATACTCTTATGTTCCATCTTAGAGTTAAAATTATAACTATAATTCCAATACAAAAAAAAATTGAAATCAAACAAGGCAATATGACCTACATCCAATAAATATCTTAAGTACTATTGACAAACTTTTAGAAAATATGTTTACAAAATAATATTTAGTGACACTTAAGTTTAAATAAATACACAACTGGGTAATGTGAAGTAGCTATTCAATGTATTATTTATGGATCAAGAAACATTTTAGCTTGCAACAATTATTCTTTTATAGCAGTTTTTCTGAAACTACACAGACCGAGAGATGTTGAAAAATGAATTTTAAAAAATTGGATTAGAGGAGGGTCTTTTAAGTGGCTTAACAAATACCTAATATATAACAAAAAGTATTTTTCTTAGATCACTATCTAAAGAAAGCTTTTGCGCTTTGAAATCCAACCGCTAAGTTGACATTTTCCGCAAACTGACATTTAGTGACAGCTTTGTATCTCACCGCGCGATAAAATTGACTGCTTAGTTGCTCGTCTTCTTTTTTCATGGAGAAAAGCATGTTAATTGAACATATTATGTTAGAGGTAAAATATTTGGTAAATAACAATTAATTTCTATCATATTTTCACAATATAATTAGTTCTTAGCAAAAATCGTACACAATAATAAAACCAAAAGGACCTAAGCCTATATCTTCATTGTTATTGGTCTGATTCAAACAGGAAAAACAGCATTATGAAGAAGATGAAACATAGATTAATGTTAAATAAAAAAATCATGTGCAGAGGCAAAGTCAAAAGGGCCTAAGTATCCGTTGCTGTTGGTTCGATTCAAACGGGACGAATGGCATTATAAGGGAGACATAACATAGATTAACGTTGAAGAGAAAAATCACGCGCAGTAGTAAAGTTAAAAGTATTTCTGGTAAACATGATGACCAATTCACGCTTGTCCACAACTGTCACATTTAAATTTTGGATTTTGATGGTATTTTAAGCAATTGCAGTGAATAAAAACATCAAATTATTTTTTTTTCTCTTTAAAGTTATTAAATAAAATTTAACACAATATTTTTAAGAGAAGAGATACATTCCATTCAATACGTTTATTATATTATTAAATAAAAAATCAACTATATAATCGAATAATATTTATGGAAATTGTAATAATATAATCAAATAAGTTGCGATACAACCCAAAACCAAAAACAGTAAGTTACAGTCGACCGGAAACAATCCTGTTGAAAATTGAACGTTTCTTCCTCTAATATGTTCTGCCAGCAACAACAACTCTTCTTTGACGTTTTTGTGTTGGGAAAATTTCGAAAATGTCGAGAAACTCAATAAAATTTTGTAACTGACGGTCGATGTTTTTCTGGCTACTCTCGCTGTATCGCCGCAAGAGATGGCCAATATTGCACCAATAATCTAAAAATAAAATATATATTCTAGAGAGTATGAGGTGTGTACAAATTGGGTATTAAAAACTTAAAGAATTTTTATTTAAATTGTGTATAAGAAAGAAAATATGGTAATATATGTCCTTTGTTTATTAAAGTCGAGCGCTTTCGGCGTTTTGGATACGTATCAAGCTAGCAGAGCACCTTTGGATTTTTCACATTCTGAGTATGCCATAATTTTAGGCTCATTTTAGGCTAATTTTATACCAACATAAAGATTTTCCACTCCTGCATTTATCGAAAAAATTGGGTGCTATGCTAGCTTGAAAATACGACTTTAAAGTGTTTTTCTTTAATAAAATTGAGGAAAATCAAAAATAGACACGGCATAATTTTAGTCTTATTATAGGCTAATTTAATACCAACATAAAAAAATTTCCGCTCTTGCCTTTATTCGAAAAATTAGGTGCTCTGCTACGACTTTATAGAGTTTTTCTTTAAAAAATTTAAATATCTAATAAAGGGAAACTTCATAATTTTAGGCTCATTTTAGGCTAATTTTATACCTACCAATCAACCAAATTAGGTACTCTGTTGGCTTTGGCTTAAAATGAGCCTAAAATTATGTCGTGTCTACTTTTTAGTTTGCTCAATTTTATTAACGCAAAACACTAAAGTCTGCTAGCTTGACAGCAGAGCACATAATTTTTCCAAAAAAGGCCAGAGTGAATTTTTTTTTATGTTGGTATAGAATTAGCCTAAAATTAGCTTAAAATTATGCTGTTATCATTTTTTACATTGCTAAATTTTTTAATGAAAAACGCAATAAGTGCCTGTTGTTAAGCCAACAGAGTACCAAATTTCTATGAAGAAAGGAGCGGAAAATTTTTTAGGTTGGTATAAAAAGGTGCTCTGCTAGCTTGATATTAAGCTATCAGAGCACTTAATATTTCCTATAAAGAAAACAGCGGAAATTATGACATATTTCTATATTTTAATGAAAAACTTTATAAAGTCGTATTGTCAAGCTAGAGCACCTAATTTTTCCATTAAATGCAAGAGCAGAAAATTTTTTTATGTTAGTATACAATTAGCCTAAAATGATCCTAAAATTATGGCATACTCAGAATGTGAAAACTCCAAAGGTGTTCTGGTAGCTTGCATTTTAGCTATGATCAGGACACTACATAAATTAGCATAAATAGGAGCGATATAATTATTAAGTGTAAAGGTTAAAGAAAAGGTCCTTTATTTTTCACAAGTCAATTTATTGGCGACCGGTTTCGAAGTTGTCACTTCATCATCAGGCACACCTAAATGGAATGTCAAGGAGTCAGGTGTAATAAAAACAATTATAAAAGCATGAACGGACTTTAACATATACAAAATAACAGAAAAAACACAAAAGAAAGTTAAACAATAACCTTGACTCACCTTGACTAATTCCATAAAGGAAGCGCTACAAAAAGTTTAACAGAACGAGTTAAAAAAGTCATGTGTAATAAGTATTTTTTAAAAAAATTTTTTTAATGTAGGTTAGGTTAAACCACCAGATGTCTTTTTGAATAAAATAATTAATTAAAACACATTTAAGACAATTATTAACTAAACAACACAAATTTCCCTTTTTACATATGAATTTTCATATTTTCTTGTTTAGTGTTCTAATTTTCTTGTTAGTATAAAATTTTTTTGCTTTCTCATTCTCAGTTTAATATATTTTACTTTCAATAAATTTTGTCATCGCCACCTATACTCACTTTCAGTAAATAACACCTCCGTTAGTACACTATTTATCCGCTAATTTAAAATTTACAGTTTACTGCATTGATTCGTTAAAAATCTAGATAGATGTCTTGACAGTCTGATAATTTTTACTTTTTTACTTTTTACTTTCAGTAATTAACATTATTTCCTTAAAAATTTTTAAACTGTTTGTGCTTGTAAAACTATTTTGTGTTTTTTAGTTAATAATTGTCTTAAATGTGTTTTAATTAATTATTTTATTCAAAAAGACATCTGGTGGTTTAACCTAACCTACATTAAAAATTTTTTTTTAAAAAATACTTATTACACATGACTTTTTTAACTCGTTCTGTTAAACTTTTTGTAGCGCTTCCTTTATGGAATTAGTCAAGGTGAGTCAAGGTTATTGTTTAACTTTCTTTTGTGTTTTTTCTGTTATTTTGTATATGTTAAAGTCCGTTCATGCTTTTATAATTGTTTTTATTACACCTGACTCCTTGACATTCCATTTAGGTGTGCCTGATGATGAAGTGACAACTTCGAAACCGGTCGCCAATAAATTGACTTGTGAGAAATAAAGGACCTTTTCTTTAACCTTTACACTTAATCCCTACTACTCACATATGGCTACCCTCACTCCAAAACGATATAATTATTAATAAAACAATTTTAAACTTAATTGTCAAAAAACATAGTAAAGGGTTAGAAAACATCAAAGAACTAACAGGTTAATCAAACAAAATGTTGATTAACAACTTCAAGGTCGCTAGCCAAGCAAAATTCAAGGCAAAAAAGTAAGCTCACCACGTGGGTGATAAGCAAAGTTCAACAAGTGGTAATAATGCACCGAACGGCGTTAGGCAGTAATAAATTAGCTTCTAGACCATCTTTTAATCTACGATATGTTTTTCTCTCAGCTAAGTAGTTAAAAATTCCGTTTTTTCAAATAACTTCCAGTTATTCTTTCACTTTTTGTAATATTTGCTTAGCTTTAGCGCAGAAATGCTATAATTACAAGATGGCGCAGGATGTGAAAAATTCAAAATATTAATCTCTATATTATAATATTTTCCAAAATTTTAAAAGTATTGGAACAATAAAAAGGACATGTTTTCTTTTTTGAAAAATATTAAAAAACAAACAAAATAATTTAAAAAGTAAAAGGAGCAAAACTGGAACTGTTCAAGAATATCAAACTACAATGAAGTTCATCTCTGTAATAAGAAACTAAAGAACATCATTTAGTAATGGAGATGGTCAATACAAATATTTTGATGGAACTTGAACTATTAAAACAGTTATTCCTATTTTTTTATATGCTTAATTTAAAGTGTGTTTTAAGGAAGAAACTAAAGTAAATTTATTAGGAACTAGCATGTGTCCGATGAACCATCGTGTTCAGATCACAGGCATATCTGATTCCATATACAATGTCCAACTCGTACAGCAGACAAGTTTAAAAACCCGAGAGAGACGAATTGGGAAGGGTACATAAAATTCCTGGAGGAGTCTCTCAAGCAGGAATTCACCAATGTACGAAAAACAAAAACACTCGAAAGGACAGTGGACTTGGTAAACAAGGCAATTACTGATACCTACCAAGAAAACTGTTCCTAAAAAGAGAGATGCCAAACGAAAAAGACAGTCTGGTGGAATAAACACCTAGATAGCCTGAGAAGCGAGGTGCGAAGAGCCAAATCCACACAAGACTGGACTATCTATGAAAATAAACTCACAGAGTATAACAAAGAAATGCGCAAGGCTAAAAGAAAC